CTTGGAGTTGAAACCCTTTATGTCTTCAAGGTCTTACAACAAAGTCTCCAAAATCCTCTAAAACTTGCAACTCTCCAAAAACTGTAAAAAATTTGAATAATAGAATTGATATCATATTAGAAATTTAAACAAGTATTTATAGTGTTTGAAAATTTGTCTTGCGGAGGACCATTCGACACAGTTAGTTGGGATCGCCGATACGTTCGCGATCCACCTTTTGGTTGATTCATCGCCTTCCTGCTTTAGCCTTCAGCCTCTTCACGTTTTGAGTCATTGGGCGATATGGTACTGCTTCGCGGAACTGATCGCCGACGCGCCGACTGCTCCATTTCATCGCCAACTTGAACTTTTTCCTTTAGGGCTCAGCACACTAGAACAAAAGGTGATCTCCAGGCCCATCGGTGACTCGCCAACTAGGGTCGACGATCTTCAGGCCTTCATTTCTTCGTTCTTTTCATCCGCCTTGTTCCTTCTTGTCAAGTAGTGTCCATGCTTTGCTTCAAACTCTAAATACTTGAAACTTAAGGATTTTCATTAGATATTGAGACAAAATATGCATTTGAGGACACTAATTCTATCAAAATATAGCCCTAAATGAGTCCAAATTGTGGACTCATCAGGCTCTACGAGCCGTGGTCCCTTCCATGAAGTTGAGGCAGTGGCTTGGTTTTGAATGGCCATTATTTCCAAGGCCAAGGGGACTTCACGACCATCCTCACGAGCCGTGGGGTGGACCACGACTCGTGGTCCCTCTCATGAAGGTGGGGTAGTGTGCCCCTAGCTAGGGGCAGTCTTGGCTTGGCCCATTTTCCTAGGCACCCTTTGGTCTTGACTCAAATATCTTTATTTCCACCTTAAATGACTTACTAAAATTTCAGGAGTCATTTTACGACTTTTAACCTTACGTTTAGGCTCTAGTTTAACCTATCATTTTTTGGGGTGTTACATTATCTCCCCCTTGGGTACATTCATCCTCGAATGACGATTTAGACACCTTACAGGAGTAAAGACTCAAGACTAGCCGCTCAACAAGCGTGCAACATAACAAAATGCACAATTCATAGGAGGAAATATCAATTCCATCTCAAGACATACTCAATGCAATCCCAGTGAAGTAGGAAATAATTACATCTACAACCCATCATGCACAAAGTTCATCAATTCACATAAACATGGGAGGAACTACTTTCTCCAACTCAATGGAAGCTGAACAACAATAATGTAGATCCAACATACCATTTCATCCAAAAACCATAGCTAAGCATGTTCATCAATTCACCTCATGGAGTCAAATATGCAATCATCATACTAAAATGCAAATTAACATGAGGAACATATGAAACATGAAAACTCAATTTATGCTAAACATGAATTCTCACAAGAACATGCACAACATAAGGAAATCATAAAGAACACTTATAGCACATATGACTTCGAAAATATCAAACTCAAGAAACTACTTACCTCAAGTTGGAATAGGAGTAGAAGGATGAAGATGGGGATAACGGGACTTCATATCGGCCTCGGCCTACCATGTAGCACCCTTAACTAAGTGATTCCTCCGTAAAACCTTAACCGAAGCTACTTCTTTGTTTCTTAACCTTTTCACTTGACGGTCCAAAATCTCAACTGGGACTTCTTCATAAGAAAGGTTCTCGTCAACTCCTAAACCCTCTAAGGGAAGGATGGATACGTATCACCAATAAACTTCTTGAGCATGGAAACATAAAACACCGGGTGGACCGAAGTCAACTCACTTGGCAAGTCTAATTCAAAAGCAACCTTTCCTATGCGCTTCAAGATTTGATATGGGCCCACGTACCGAGGACTTAACTTCCCCTTCTTACTAAATCTCATCACATCTTTCATAGGTGAGATTTTCAAGTAGACCCAATCACCAATCTCAAATTCTAGATCCCTCTATCTAACACCAGCTTAAGATTTTTGCCAATTTTGGGTCGTCTTCAACCTCTCTCTAATGAGGCAGACCTTTTCAATTGCCTCATAGAATAACTCGGGACCAAGTAGAGCAACTTCACCTACCTGAAACCACCCAACCGGAGATCTACACCTCCTACCATAAAATGCTTCAAACGGTGCCATGACAATACTTGAGTGGTAACTATTGTTGTAAGCAAACTTTATCAATGGAAGATGGTCATCTCAACTACCATTGACGTCAATTACACATGCCCTCAACATTTCCTCTAAGGTTTGAATGGTGTGTTCTGCTTGACCATCCGTTTGATGGTGAAAAGCGGTACTAAGCTTAACATTGGTACCAAGCCCTTTATGGAATGCCTTCCAAAAGTGTGAAGTAAATTGAGTACTCCTAGTCGAAATAATAGATAAGGGAACCCCATGCAACTTTACTATCTCATTGATGTACAACTTTGCATAGTCCTTCGCTGAATAAGAAACCTTGACGGGAATAAAGTGGGCGGACTTGGTCATTCTATCAACAATGACCCAAATGGAACTGTGTTGCCTTCGAGTACGAGGCAAACCCACCACAAAGTTCATATTTACATCCTCCCACTTCCAAGTGGGAATATCTATATCTTGGGACAACCCTCCGGGACTTTGATGCTCAGCTTTAACTCTTTGGCAATTCGGATATTTGGCTACAAAATCCACTATATCCTTTTTCATACCATTCCACCAATAGACTTCCCGTAAGTTACGGTACATCTGGGTGGCTCCCGGATGAATAGAATATCGTGAACCATGAGCCTCTTCTAAAATTTGCTCTTTTAAGCATCAACATCAGGAACACATAGTCTACCTTGGTACCTAAGCACCCCATCTCCCCCTTAGGAAAAAGCCTTAACAGACTTGTTGAGTACCGATTCTTTCAACTCCATCAAAATCGGATCAAGGTGTTTCTTGGACTTCACATCAATCACAAATGAAGATTCGGAACCATGATAAACCATGACCCCACCCTTGGTGGAATCCACTAGTTGGACACCTAACCGGGTCAACCTATGTACATCACGAACTAACTCTTTTTTCTCATCTTCTACATGAGCCACACTATTCATGGACATTCGAATTAGGGCATCAACAACTACATTCGATTTTCCGGGGTGGTAAAGGACACTCATATCATAATCCTTCAAAATTTCTAACCACCTTCTTTGTCGGAGATTCAAGTCTATTTGGCTAAACACATATTTGAGACTCTTGTGGTCGGTGAACACATCAACATGAACCCTATATGGATAATGTCTCCATATTTTCAAAGCAAACACCACTGCCGCCAACTCGAGATCAGGAGTTGGATAATTTTTCGTATGTATCTTGTGTTTCCTTGAGGCATAAGCAATTACTTTCCCACGTTTCATGAGGAAACATCCTAGACCCACTAAAAAAGTGTCATAATACATTACAAACCCATTGGTACCCTCCGGTAAGGTCAAAACCAGAGCGGAAGTGAGTTTATCTTTCAATTCTTGGAAGCTTTTCTCACAAGCTTCCAACCACACAAATTTGGCCTTTTTTTGGGTTAAGGCCGTCAATGGAGAAGCAATAGAGGAGAAACCCTCAACAAACCTCTTATAGTAGCCGGCTACACCCAAAACGCTTTTAATATCGGTAGGAGTAAGAGGTCTAGGAAAGCCTTTGACCACATCCGTCATCTTCGGATCTACCTCAATACCCTTGCTCGACACAATATGACCAAGGAAGGCAACCGACCTTAGCCAAAACTAACATTTACTAAACTTCGCATACAATTGGTTATCCTTGAGGACTTGTAGCACAAATATCAATGGTCCATATGGTCACTCTCACTCTTAGAATAGATCAAGATATCGTCGGTAACCACAATGACGAACATGTCGAGATAATTCAGGAAAACCCTATTCATAAGGTCCATAAAATTTATCGAGGCATTAGTTAGACCATAAGGCATAATCACAAATTCGAAGTGACTGTGCCGGGTCCTAAAGGCCATCTTAGGAATGTCAGCCCCTCTTACCCTTGATGGTAACCTGAAGGAAGATCTATCTTGGAGCAATAGTTAGCCCCTTGAAGTTGATCAAACAAATCGTCAATTCTAGGAAGAGGATACTTATTCTTTATAGTGACTTTGTTCAATTGGTGGTAATCTATACATATCCTAAGGGACCCATCTTTCTTTTTCTCAACAATACCGGAGCACCCTATGCTTGGTTGAATAAAACCCTTGTCTAACAAGTCCTAGAGTTGCTCCTTCAACTCTTTCAATTCGGCTGAAGCCATTCTATAGGGAGGGATGGATATGGGTTATGTATCCGACGAAAGATCAATGCCAAAGTCTATTTCCCATTCGAGAGGAATGTTGGGAAAGTCATCGGGAAAGACTTCCGAAAACTCACTCACCACGGGGACCGACTCTAATGAAGGGACCTTGGATTCAACATCCATAACCCTAACAATGTGATACATGCACCCCTTGGAGATCATTTTCCTAGATTTTATGCAGTTTTAAAAAAAAATTAAAGACAATGTTTTTAGGTTATTTGAGCCAAATGAAGTTGAATGATGGAATATAATTTCCTTTGTGCTGGATAAAGTTTCATCTTGATTTAATATTTTAGTTTGTTTATCTTGATGATTTTCATTAGTTTCCGTCACTTTACATTAGAGAGAGTTCTTAATGCATATAGTAGCTCAAAATCCTGATATTAAATCCACACCAAAAACTAGATAGCAAGTGTATTTTTGATGGCCAGAAGTAGTAGATGGAGAGTAAAACGAAGCTATTTCCAATAGTTTGGGAGCAATTTTGGTTGGTTTTGGCCATGTTGGACTATTATGTCAGCGATCTAAATAACTGATCATGTGGACATATGTTAAGTTCGTGGTCCAAAAAATAGTCAGACGAAAGGTAAATGTAAGCTATTTCGAATTAATTTGTATGGTGTTTGGTACAAAATTGATGACAGATTTGGTCATTTTTAAGAAAATTTTCAAACATGAATAGATCTGTATTAGCTAACAATAGGGTTCAAAATCTCAATAGCAACATATTACAATTTACACAAGTTATTATTGTTGTTTTCTTGTCTTAATGGCTACTAACATTTGCACCACTTCCTTCATCTCTGGCCTATTTTGTGGCTTTACATCCCAACATTTCTTCATTATATCTGACAATGCTCTTGGACAACATTTTGGTATCTCAGGCCTTCGATCCTGAGATTTACATACAAAACAGCTCCTTAGTTAGTTCATCAAATTTGACAATTAAATAATCAAAAGGGAGTTATAAGTAATTAGTAAAGTACCTTGTAAATTTGATGTGAGATTTTACTATGAGAAATGTGTTCAGGGTATGGATCTAAACAAGTATACATTTCCCACAAGCAAATTGCAAAGCTGTAGACATCACATTTATGATCATATGACGAATCACTCAAAACCTCAGGAGCCATATAACCCATAGTTCCACTTGTTCCAACCATAGAATAAAACTTACTAGAGATTCCGAAATCAATTATCTTCACTTTTCCAGTTTTGTCAACAAGTAAATTTTCAGTCTTCACATCTCTATGAGCAATCTTGTTGGAATGAATGTAACTCAACCCTTTAGCAACATCCAATGCAAGTTGTATAGTTGTATCTAAAGGCAATTTCTTCTTCAATATTGTATGTTTGGAAAGATAGGATTGAAGAGTACCTCCACCAACATATTCCACAACTATGCAACAATATCCATTTATTCCTAGTACTTTTGCACCTTTTTGACATTTAATTTTAATCTTTGACATATTCTTCTTCTTTATAGCTCCAATGAACTGCACAAAATTAATATATTTCAGCTAATTTGCAAATAATTAAACAAATAAGATAAAAAGAGAAATTAATTAAGTAGGTATACTACCTCAGCAATATTGGAGTGTTGAAGATTGCACCAAATAGAAACTTCTTGCATGAATACCTCTTCCATCAATTGCTTTTTTTCTATTGAATTCTTCTTTCCATCTCTCAAATCAAATACTTTAACTGAAATTCATCATGTGTATTAATTAAAAGTTACCAAAATTTTGATAAATACATATTACTTTTTGAACCTGTAATACGAAAAATATAATGATAACATGGTAAAATTACAATATTCAAGAAACATAATCACTAATATAACAAAATATAGTCATTCTAACAACAATATTCAAGAAACGTAACACTAATATAGTTTTACTATAATCATTCTAACAACAATATTCAAGAAAAGTAACCCTCATATATATAGTTTTCAAGAAACGTAGCCCTAATATATATAGTTTTACTATAATCATTGTAACAACAATATTCAAGAAACGTAACCCTAATATAGTTTTCAAGAAACGTAACCCTAATATATATAGTTTTACTATATTCATTCTAATAAACAATAATATTCAAGATTTACTATAGACACTCTAACAATAATATTAAAAAAAAACTTAACTATAATGTACAAAACTATATTCAGTTTAACAACAATATTCAAGAAACGCGTAAAAAAACAAATTAGGAAGTATATGTATAAACATTAATAAAAAATTAGTAATTAATTATACCTGCGACTTGTTTGTCGTTGTAAAGGCCTGTATAAACTGCCCCAAAACCTCCAAAGCCAATTAAGTTTTCGACAGTAAGTTTTGAAGCATCAAGTTCCCACTCTTGTTTCTTCATGTTAGCTGCTTCCACACACCTAATTTTATTCATTATAGTATTAATTACTTTTTCAAACAAATTTTAGTATTGATTGTTGGGTTCGGCGGAAGGGACGTATATATAGTATTACTATAATTTATTTCCTTTAAGGAAAGGAATTATTAATTACTATAAAAGCTTTTGTTGAATTCAAATTATGATAGGATTAGTTAGTTGTATTCAAATTTTGATAGGATTAGTTAGTTGTGATAAGTTATCAGTTATAATAAGATACGTTATGTTAAGATTATTTTTTATTAAGTGTTTGATTTGTTATATTTAAAATAATAAATTTTAAAAATAATTTATTTGTGTATAAAAATACTTTTTTTTTTTTTTTTTGGATATCAAGTCATTAAAAATTCAAAATCGATGGAACTCATTTAAAGAGCCATCAACGATTAAAACATTCAACAGCTTAATACAATATTAACTAACATAGCAAAAACATAAAAGTACCCAATATAATACAATAGTTTATAGTAAGAATAAAACTAGCACTGATCACACTTAATCGACCTTCTCAATCTTGGGGCCTGCACCGGTAGAACCAGCTGGAGGAGCATCATCGTCATCCATAGGTGCACCTGCCTCGCCACCCGTGTATAAAAAGAGTTTAAAGGGATATTTTTATTTATTTATTTTATTTCGAGATAAGTTATTTGAAACTATTATACCACTCAAGAGAAGGAATAACATAACTCGGACTTGCCAACTAAACAACAAATTAAGTGACACTATAATTTAGTCTCAAGACTATTTGATATGAGGGGTGTTCTTTTTTATTTTATTTTATTTTTATAATAAAATAAAAATAAATAATTTGATATGAGGGCTCGTCTTCGAAAGGACGAAAGTTGCATCTTATCCATTATAAGGGGGCCAATAGCCTCCTTAGGAAGGTCTTCTTTATGTAGGAAAACTTTATCTTCTGGAAGCTAGGGTGGTGGCATGCTTCGCAAGAGCATCTGAGACTCCATTACTTTCTCTGTAGCAATGACTAATTGTGACATTCTTTTGATGCATTTTGTGTTGAATATCATCGATTATATTCTGCAGTCTCCAAGAGGGTCTGGTCACCCCTTTGATCATGTTGTTAACGATCATCGAGTCTACTTTCATATCAATGTTCTTGATATTTTTGTCACAACATCATGTAATTCCTATTAATTAAGGCAGCATAGGCTTCGCTAAAGTTGTTAGTGTAGAAATGAGTCGGATACGCAAATGCCATGACTAAGTCCCAATTTTATTTCTAACAATTCCGCTAGCCCCCGCCTTGTTTTGATCTTTCATGTAGCTACCATCAGTGTTCAATTTCCAAGTATCATCACTAGGTTTGTGTCAGCAAACCATCAAGCTGTTGATAGTGATTTTGTAATTTTCAGCTATATGACACACTTGCTTCCGGTCCCAATGTTGGTCCATCCTACTAAACTTTTTTTGCATCGATTCTTAGACCTGAAAGAGAATTTTGTGGCAAATGTTATTTGTGCTGACCTACTTAAGCTCAAATCTCGTAGTGCACCTTGCTTTCCAGATTTCCCAACATATAATGATGGGAGTAATAAGGAGTGAAAACCTATGTACAACATTTTTGGGTGGTAAGGACCACAATTGATCTAGCATGTTCTCCATGTTTCGACTGGTCAGTTGCAGCCCGAGGGGAGAAGTGATTTGATGCCAAACTCTTTTTTCTAGATCACTAGCTATAAAAATATAATTAATGGTCTCTTGCTTAGTTTCCCTTCAACATGGGCAATTAAATCCCAAATTAGTTTGAAATCAAAGAGTCGGGGCATCAATAGGAATTGTTGTACACAAATAAATCACTTTAAAAGAATTTAACGTGCAGACTTGGAAACATTTCAGGGAGAAAAGGGCATAGCGGATAATAGAAGATGCGAATGAAGTGCTAAGGGTGGTTCAAATTGTGATGCTATGTACTCAAGAGTCGCCTATTATGCGTTCAGATATTTCAACAATTATTAAACTACTTACACAAGAAAACTTATATATATAGAAGTGCCTGTTCCTTCAAAGCCTCCTTTCATTGATATGGTTCCGAACAACATGGTTTTAGTCATCATCATCACCCTTTTCATCATGAAGAATTCTTCAGAGCTCCGATCAGACAATTTTGGAGATTATTATGAAGCCATCTGCCTGCAAAACTTTGTTAAATGTAAAAGGTTCAAGGGATGCAGATAGAAAATACTAAAAGATCACCATGAATATTCCCACAAAATTGAGTGGAGTTCACGTACATTCAATCTGGCAGGCAGGTCTTGTCTAGTGCAACTTACAATTCAAGTTTAGAAACTTGAAATTTACACAAATCATCTATTTTCTTGATTTGATACTATAAACATCACAAACTAAAAATGTAATGCGCACATATGGCGTAATGGCGTAATGGGTGTCTAAGGTTCCAGCTTCAGTGAAACCACTCTACACTGCCTGTTGCCTGTTACCTGTTACGCTTGGCTGTCTTCTTAAACTCTACGGAGATATAAGACGGGGTCCACCATGGTTGCCGGACTCTTTGTTGTCCCTTCAAGCAAGCCACTGAAGACATGAATTGAGTCAATATAGATAACAGGAACTATAGGATATTAGGAAATAGTAAAAGAATAGCAGTAACTTCATTCCTAAATAGCAACAACAGATTCACTGAAGTATCTCAATAGCTATCCGTCATAATGGCTGCCCGGTGCACTAATCCCCTGCAATGCTTGGAGTCCGGGGAAGGGCCAGACCACAACAATCTATTGTACATAGCCTTACCCACCATTTCTGCAAGGTTGTTTCCACATCTCGAACCCGTGACCTCCTGGTCACATGACAGCAACTTTACCAATTATCTCAAAAAAAGAAGTATCTCACTAGCTGTATATCCCAATTTATATATATAACATAGTTCGAATATTAAAGAGTTAAGTTTTCTACTTTTGACAGTGAATATGAATATAGAGGCTTTAATTTATTTATTTTTAAAATTAACATTTATGAAACAACATAAAAAAAAATATAATAAGTCACACTAATTAATAATTTAATAAAATAAAATTTGAAAAAATTGCAATACAAAAGTTTTTCAACTCTCAATATACCTAAAAAATGCGACTCAACTAAGATAGAGATAGGACTGTTAAATTAGGGGAATATTTTTTTATTTATTTTAGAAAAGAACAAACTGTATTTGTAAAGTCTCTGGGTCTCTTTTCACTTTGTGAAGTTGACGTCAAAACCATTGATGACAATACTACTAAGCTCAACTTTTAATGAAAAAGAAAAAGAACTACTTTTCCTATCTAAGCAGTTCTAATTAAAATAAAAGATCAACTAGAAATAGAGAAATTCACCGATCACTATGATAATTGTGATGGTTAAAAGTTTAAATGGGAGATTATTGAGATATATACTATTAATTATATGTTTAGATATATTATTTAGAGTAAATTTTAGGATAGTAAACATAAAAATTATATTAGCGCAATTTGTATATACGGTCGTTTGTGTCTATGAAAATTGCGTTTATATATGTTCTTTCATGTGTTAGACTAGAGTAGCGAGCGAGATTAGAAGAGAGAGGAGAGAAGTGAGCGAGAGAGGACAGAGAGTGGAGAGAGGTGAATTGTATATGTAACCGGTTAGATAATTGTATATATGTAACCACTATGTATATATATCAACGATTGTGTTTGTATATCTGCATAAAATTTGAATTTGTATACAATTGAATTGAGTTATAACATTTGTATGTATATATTAAATATCTCCCGCTTTATACAAATACAAACTGTACATTGTATTTGTATAATTTGTATTTGTATAAAGTGAGAGAAAGACAAAAGAGAACTGGGTAGGGGAAGATTCGTATTAGTATAATTATAAGTGTATAGGATGGAGAGATATGTATTTATATTTGTATATACAGTTTCTCTCGATTTATACAAACACAAACACAATTTATACATTTATGTTTGTATAAAAGTGAGAGAGGTGAGTGAGAGAATTGAGCGTGGCAGGCGAGATTCGGGGGGAGAGAGGCGAGAATGACAATGTGTTTGCTACGAATTAGGATTAAGTGAAATTGTAGCTATAACATTTATTTTGAATTAATAGTTTGCTATAATGCACAATTTTCTCTATTATTTATTATAGAATAATTATTTATTCAATTTTAATATATCATATATTCATTTAGGGTGTGTCTGTTTACTTATATAGTAGAAGATTTAGTGAATAGGATTTTAGCATATACCCAGAACATTAAATCATCGGTTCTTATAAGTATTAAGATTTTTATTCACAATCTAAGATGAAAGTTGGACATGTCACCGGTACGATTGTAGCACAAGATTGTATGCAATTTATCTTGATTATGTGAATGATATTTTGTCCTTCGTCTCATGTGTCATCTTGAGATCCAGACATAGTTTTCTTTGACCATAATTTCTTGATATCTTTTTAAAACTATTTGAATTAATTATTATTATTATTATTATTTATAGTACATTTATGTAGTTTTCAAATATGTAAATTTTATTTTAAAAAATTTAAAGATTTTATGCTTAAATATATGATCTTAAGTTGTTTGACTCTCGAAATTGTGTATATACACACACATAGTAGGATATACATTTTTTAAATTATTTTTTTTTTACTATAGATTTATCTATTATAGAAGACAATTAAACTTTATGCTAATAAGAAATATAAATAAAATATTCCCTACTTAAAACGTATACTTATTTACCCAGTAATACACAATTTAATGAAATGCAGAAAGTCATATTTCAAAATTATAATTGAGTTTATTTAAATTAGTCAATGATTAAAATTATTTACTGTTCTTCAATGAAAAATGAAAATTCAAGCGGTTTTTTATTTCAAGAAAAAAATGAGAATTAAATTTTAAAAAAAGAAACCGAGACATTTATTATAATGCCTCCAATAAAACATTAAATTTCATAAAATAATTAATAGTATATGATAATTGGTAAAATTGTTTCACTAGTTTTAACCACATTAATTAAGAGTGTTTCAAAAAAAAAAAAAAACATTTATCAGTACAAAAATGTTTCCCTAATTTCCAATTAAAGCAATCCAACTAATTCGCAATGACAAGACCTTGAGTAATTTCCCTGGTATGTAATTTTCGGGTAAAGTCTCATTAAATAAATTCATATCTAAATTCGTAGAAACAAACTCCCAAGTAATTCTCTAACTTTAAAAAGTTTAATTTTTTAATATCCCCAACTAAATCCGTAGGTAGTTTTACTTGGAGATTTTCTGCCAAATATAAAGTAATTTATTTTTGTTCATTTACTTGTGAATTTACCTACGAAAATATTACGTGTAGATTAATTTCCCCAACTAATTCTCCAAGTAATATTTTTGCGCCAAATTTTCCTGCGGATTTTCCTTGAAAAAAATTTACGCAGGTAAAATATTGCATAACTTAGGAATTTTATAATTTTGCATGTAAATTCGTAGGAAATTCCTGCGGATAGAATCCCCAGGTAAAATTTCCAAGTAATTCACAATTTTCTTGTAGTGGCATTTTCTATACTGTTAAATGCACTTATATTCTTAATCCTGATATCATATTATTAATTATCATTTTGATTTATTAAAATATGAGATTCTAAGATGAGTCAATACGTCTGGTAGATTGGATGATAATAATATACATTAGTAAAATAATAAGTTAGTTGATGAAATCCATGTCTCGGTATAAAGATTGATGATATGTGCACCTTTTGGAGAAGCTTATAAGTTTTCATTTTGTTAAATCTTGCAAGTGAATTTTTGAATCCGACACATGAAATAAGTTAAGTAGTGCTCTAAAGGAAATTAACCATTAAATTAAATTTGTCAGTAATTTAATTTATTGATTAGTGTTTGTAATCTCAACATGGAGAATTACATTAGTGTTTAATGAAATTTTTTGGAATATAATTAGAGGAGTGTAATTATCAACTTTTTGTGAAATCATTGAAAAATTCTTAAAACTTTATACATGTGAAATAGTGTCAATACATGAATTGATAATTATGATTAATAAATAAAAATTATTGACGTAATCTATTTATTCGAGACATCAAGATATACTTAATGTATCATGTATAAGTTGTCCTACATATATAAGTGTATACTAATTAAAATTATTTACTAAATGAGATTGTGTTAGTGAATATCGTATTTAGAAAGATTTTATCGTTCTCTGTCATTTCATAATGTCACACATCCTTAATTTGAATGATAAACTTATAAGAAAAATAGGGTAGTGGGTAGAGTTTCATGAAAATATAGAGTAAAAGATGAAGAATAATTACTATTAAATAAGGGGAAAAGGGTCAAAAATGCCCTTAAACTATGTGAAAGGAACAAAAATGCCCTCCATTTATAGTTTGGCTCAAAAATGCCCTTACCGTCAATACTTTGGTTCAAAAATGCCCTTAAACTATGCGAAAGGAACAAAAATGCCCTCCGTTTGTAGTTTGGTCCAAAAATGTTCTTGTCGTCAATACTTTGGTCCAAAAATACCCTTATTGTTATTTAATTGGTCAGACTCATTTTCCAAATAAATATATTATTATTTTCTTTTTGACACATTCTTTTTCAATGAATGTTTTTTTTTAAATTAGCAAATGTTTATCTTACTTCAATATAGAAAAAAATAAAAAATGAAAATATTTCTTATTTTATTATCATTATTTTTTATCGTTATATAAATATAAATTAATGATGGATATACCATGGTAGTATATATATGACATATATTATTTGTCAAAAGGGTACATGAAGTTATTCTATTTTAACTGATAAAATGAGATTAAGAAGAAAAAAGATATTTCCTACACTTTTATTTGTTAAAGTGATTTTAAAAGGAAAAAAAACAAGAATAGTGTTCTTTAATAATATTTTAATCAGGAAAAATATGTGTTTAAAAAGAAAAAAAACAATATATTTATTCAGAAAAGGGCATTTTTGACCCATTTTTTAACTATAGGGGCATTTCTGGACCAAAGTATTGACTGCAAGGGCATTTTTGAGCCAAAGTATTGACGGTAAGGGCATTTTTGAGCCAAACTATAAACGGAGGGCATATTTGTTCCTTTCACATAGTATAAGGGCATTTTTGACCCTTTTCCCTTAAATAAGTAATAAATAAAGATAAAATGAGAAGAGAATTTTAAAGTAACAATACAATCCATCAAATCTATCATTACATAAAAGGAATCTTTTTATGATTATTTAACTATGAATTTAAACAATATCATATAATAGAAAATAAGTAACAATCGAAACAGAATATATGGAGATTTCTTACAGCTGCAGTCATATATAGTCGAGTTAGTTATTCACATTTCAGTTATGAATTAGAGTTAGTTAGACGTTTTGTTTTATTAAGTGCCAGCTGTAGCAATAGTTAGTTATTCTAGGAACTTTCTCCCTTGCTTATATAAATAGATAGCTTGTATTGTTTCATTGTTTTGATTCTCTCAGTTTATAAAATACAAAAGCAGTTCTTCTTCTTTCCCTTTTGTGTTAGTCATCAATGGCATCGTTCACCATTAGAGAGGATCAATCCAAGCTCAGTGAGTTGGGTTTAACAATATACAACAGACATTTTTCTTTCTCTCGTCAAATAACTATTTCTCTCATGTCACCATTTTTCTGTACTAGTGCACAATCAATAATCATGCCTGGAAGAAGCTTCACAATACCGAGAAATCAAGCAAGAATCAATATACCCAGAAATCAAGCAAGAAACAAAGAACCCAGAAGCAAAAATCAACAGAAACCCATCTCAGAAACTTGCCCCAAAAACTCCACCATTTCTTCTACCCATGAAAGCCCAACAACATCCATCGCTAAAAACAAGAAGAATTTCACACCATTTAGGGCAACTTCACAAGTCTCTGTCCCTGCACCAATTACTGATTGGCAATCCAAGAAGAAGAAGCAGAAGCTGAGAATCAAGACCCTTAAATTTGTTGATGGAGATTCAACTTTTTCCACCCACAATAGCTGTTGCAGAAAAGGAAGAAAAGCAAGACACTCATGTATGGCTGCTTCTTTTGATGATTTTGTTGTTTCAAGAAAACCCCATTCTGCTAAAGGGAGAGTTGATATTGACAAGGAGGTAATAATCAATGGATTTTATTTTATAATTTTGCCATGTATTATTGCTTCTCATGTTCTTTTAATATCTTTTTGAAATTTTTGGATTGTTACTAGTACAGTAATAGTTTTTTATGCAGTTAGAAATGATTAAATTATCTATTCTATAATTGATATCTAAAATTGTCGATCTGATATTCGATATCGAACCTCTTCAAATAAATAGGATCAGAGGGAGTAAATTGTTACGTATCATTCATCGAATGAAATGGGTTCAAATGGAGCAAGAATGTAAGATTGAATTCATATATAGGGACTATTTATGACTTGTGTCTTTGGAGTATCTTGTATCTTGGGAGTATCTGCAGTTGAATGCATAGATGTTGAATGTGTATGTGTTAGTAAAGTGAAGTGAAATTATGTTTTCTCATGTGCTTGAATATCTAGCCTATCTGGTGGTCTTGTGAGTGTGTATTTATAGTTTATGATCATTAGCATTTTATTTAGTAAGAAATGTTGTTTGCCATTTGTGTACAGTTTTGCCCATATTATTACTGGAAAACAACCGAACCAAAGCTGTTCGGTAAAGAGGCTTAGATTTCTCTTTTTGAGATTTTGCATATTCAGTTTGGTGTTGAGGGATTTTTCGGATAATTATTGGGTCTTCGGTAAGCTTTTCACTGAATCTGATATGCTTCCATAGCAAACTCAAAACTGCTAATTTGTGGTGGCCCTCATTATTTTGTGAGTAATGTTTTCAATTGTGTTGACACGAATGCCTTCTACTCCTTCACACTTATATACAACACAGAGGCAATAATCTAACAAAGTAAATCTAAGGTAAATTCTTGTTGGTTTGGTAGCTTCAATCCCAAGATATGTTCCTGTTAAATTTTACCCTGCCATCGTGTTCTTTTCAGAGAATAACGTGAGTAGACTTGATAGAGAAGCTGTAGAAACTTGTCCTCAAGTTTAAGTTGACGTACCCTAGCTTTGAGAGTTCAGAGTGACAACTTACTTGCAATGAAAGTCACTGACCAGACTAATGCTGCTAAAGCAATAGTGGATTTTGACAAAGCCTTAAGCATGTTTGTTATTGACAGTATGCAGCTTGTCCTGATTGATACCGAATCCTATGGTTATTGCATCATGTAGTTTGTGGATTTTATCAGTTATTCACCTTATATAAACCTTTCAATTTAGTAATATTAGAGGAACTTTCAGTCACTATTCAATTTAGTTTAACGGGAGGAAGAACAGATTGTCCTGATCGATACCGAAGCTTGAGGCTTAATGTGGATAATGAGGCAAGACATTTCCTTGGATCTCTCTGTCCTTGTGACTCTATCTTTGTGCTAACGATAAGTACCCTTTGCTAACAGGAATTGGTGGAACCGGGGATGGAATTGGATATGTGAGTACAAGATTGAAAGAAGACGAGATAATAACTCAATGTGTTAGGAGAACTAAGCCCTTCTCTTTTATCTCATTTACGCACAGAAGTGGAGAAAAAGTGTAGCATTTGTCAGGTTTGTGATATATTTGTGTTCGTTAGTCTCAAAACATTGTTTTATAGAAAAGTTGATTGCTCTAACAATTAAAACTATATTTTTCTTCCAAAATACAGGAAAAATATGAGGCTGATGATGAAATGGGCAAGCTCGGTTGTGGACACTTGTATCATATCGACTGCATAAAACAGTGGCTGATGCACACAAATAGTTGTCCTCATGAAACTGCTGATTTCGTATTCCTTTTGTATATACTCTTTGTGCATCCTGAAACTGATGGCTCTTTTGTTTCTGTCCAATATGAGACAAAACAATCTTCTTGTTCTGTTTTAGTTACAAACCTTCAATCGAACATTACTCCTACCAGATGTTGATTTGTGGCTGCGTTTCTATTTTCATCTTCAGTTTTGTCATTGCTACTCATAAATATGTCTGCATTTAGCTTCAGTGTAGAAATATGTCATGTTTGTCTTGAATCTCATTTTATTTAAAACAAAAATTCTCACTCATTTAAATGTGTTTTTTTTGGGGATGAGACAATTTTCCACAAATGATTGTTTCTTCCAAAATAATTACAGTAAAATGGGGAATTTTATGTTTGTACCTTGCCAACTCAATAAAATATCTCAGATAAAGCACTGTTTTGGTGTCTAATGTAGTAAGGTGATTTTGTCCATTACAGATGATAATATTAAATGCATGCAACCCTTCTATTCTATCACAAAAATCGTCATTTTAGTTAAAAATAGAATTTTATGTATATCAGATTTTCATAGTTTAACTCCTTCCTAATAAATTTTAGAGTATTTCTTCTTTTTAACACGCAATAGGTCAGCGAAGCCTGAACAAGTGCGACGGTTAAGAACAGGCCAAAGACTTCAGCCTAACAGGAATGAGCAAATACGAAGCCTCCTCAAGGTCATCCAAAACCACTTTAAGATTGTTTATTGACCATAGCTACACAAATGTTTGTGCTCTTTGGCAATTGGCAGATGAGTTTTTAAAAAAAAATATCTATTTAATTATATTAACTTTACGCTCACTCAAGGGCTGCCTATTGGTCAGTTCGGTTTTAAAATTTATCGGTTCGACTTATTAGTTATCGATTTGTAGACATGTTAAATCGTTAGGAACCATTAAGATATTGACTTATCGGTTATCGGTTTATCAGCTATTTATTGATTTGGTTATCGGTTTAACCGTGAAAATTTGACACAAAAAATAAATGATTGAAAATCACTTAAAAACATGGTGACAAACCAAATAAACCATGCACATGAGTTGATAGATTGTATCTTGCTAAAAAACAACACTAACACATTGTAGAATAACAAAAAGTTTGAAACTGCTAGAAATAAAAATATGAAACCAAATTCTAAGTCAAGGACTTTATATATCGAATGGTATAAATATAATTTGTTAATTTACTATCGAGTTATCGATTAACCCGTAAAGAAAAAATCTCAAACCGTTAAGAACCGATAACCCGATAATAAGAAAAAGTCAAAACCGTTAAACCTATAACTAATTACCAATGAACCAATATCTTTTTTTCGATTCGAATAATCGATTGTAATTTGATTTTGAATAGCCCTAAGTCTCACTAAACAAGTATGAATATACATTATAAGCAACCGAACATCTCTTATGGTAAGTGAAAACTTTTCTTCATCTAATATATAGAATAAAAAGATGTACAGTAAAATGTTTTCACACTGTGTAAAACTCTCTTTTCATGGCTCTCACATATAGTCCCATTTAAGGCTGGGCACCGGAACGGGTTGTATCGGTATCGTTTCGATACCATTCCGGTCTGTTCCGGTCCGGTAGTATTCGGGACGGGATGGGATACATTGAATTGGTACACGAAACGGAACGGTATCATGATTTGGTATCGGTATACCGGTACCGGTTCATCCCGGTTCATTCTGGTTCCGTTTCGGTCCGGTCCGGTCCTAGTAAATCATTTTTAATTAAAATAAAAAATAATATTTTTGTCACTATTTACTTTTATTAGCATTTCTTTTTGTTTATTTAATTTTTTAAAATTACAAACTTAAGTTATTTAACTTACAAGTTATAAGTATAACTTAATAACTTATAAACTTCAAAAGATTCAAATCTTTAAAACTTATAACATAACTACATAAGGTCAAAAACTTAAAAACAAAACTTTATTAAACTTAACTTACAAACTTATATACGTAAAAATAAAAAAAATCTTTAAAATAAACTTAAGTAAAATTATTATAAATTTTAAAACTTAAATACTATAAACTAATATAACTTAGAAAAATAAAAAAACATTCGTATTTTCGTAATTCAAAATAACTCAAACAAAACAATTATTTTTTGAAATAGCTATATGTGCCGTCCCGTTTATCCCATCCCGTTCCGTTCCGGTCCATTCCGATCCGTCCCGGTTCTATCCCGGTATATAGTGGGACGGGACGGAACTGAGCCTCCATCCCGGTAGTTCCGGTCCGGTTCATCCCGGTACCGGTCAACGACCCGGTCAAACCGTCCCGTTCCGGTCCGATACCGGTTCGTTCCGGTCCGGTGGTCCCATTCCGGTCCGGTGCCCAGCCTACTCCCATTTGCGGGCACAGTTGAAATACAATTATTTTGTAGAGATATTATTTAATTAATAAATTAATTTTTATTAATTCAAAGAGTGTTTTGAAATTTAATGAAGGTTAGTTTTGATTACATCAAAATTATTGTATCATATTTATTGAATTCACATTAAAAATAATCATTATTATACATATAGTAAAATGAATACATCAAAATCATTATTTTTTTACTAAATTAAATATCATATTTATTGAATTCCTATTAAAAAAAAATCATTATATATAAGTACAATGTAGTACAATGTATGTGTATAGTTCATTGTAATATATTTTTTTGTTAAAGCATTCATTGTAAAATAAATTCAATCATTCATGGTAAAAAATAAATTCATATAACATAAAGTCATTATTTTTTAATAATCAAATATTATTCATTATATCTTTATCAAAAACATTCAATGTATGATGGTGAGAAAATAAACTATATAAGAAACATAGGAAATTTTATGAAATCATATCCAAAAATGACTTCTCATTTAAAGGGTGTCAGAATTAGAAAAGTAATAATATCCATTTACAACTCAAAGCTATATAATTGTGCAGAAAAGAAAGTTCCATTTATTTACTATTGCAAAATGTATGTAGTTTTCATGGGTTGTTCTTTTATTTTCTCTGTTTTGTTGATTATTCTCTTTAGAAGAATGCTTTGTATACGTAGTAGAAGACAACAAAACAATAGTTGCAGTACTAACAAGTTCCCTTTCAATTCAATGGCAGTATCTCTGGATGCATGTCACACGTCTCAAATTCGACGTTTCACAGTTTATTACATGGAAGATGTTTTATTATCCAAGGTTATGCAGAAAGGAAGGGATGAAGCATATCAATTTGATTAATAATGTTTTGGATTTCCACAAGGGTGGTCATTTAGAAGAATTCACTCTCTCTTTTCCTTTTCATAAGCATTTTAAGCGTGTAATTGATAAATGTCTCAACTTTGTAGTATCAAAGAAAAAGGTTGAAATCTTTCAACTAGACTTGTCACTCAGTAAGAACGAACATAGGCGTTATACCTTTCCATTTAAGCTCATCTCAAGTTTTAGATTAAATGTATCGCCATTTGTTAGTCTCAAAGTTCTGGCTTTCAACAACGTTGATGTTGACGATCGGGTGGTCAACTTTTTCATCTTCAACTGTCCCCTTCTTGAGAAACTATCTATTCATGAATCACGACTGTTGACTTGCGTGGAAATTGTTGGACCATCATGCTTCAACTTGAAAGATTTGGAACTATGTCATTGGATTGGTTTAGATTTCATCAAGATCCATAACGTCAATCTTGTCTCTTTTAAATATATAGGATGGAAATCAAATTTGCTTCTCGAGAATGTGACTTCAGTTCTTACTATTGATTTCAAGATGAGTAGAGCATTGATCTGTGAACTTGTTCATACGTTTACAACATATTTCACTCTACTGACGACACTTTCACTTGAATTTTGTCATATGGGGACGGTAAGCAATTACTCCCTCCGTTTCACAAAGAATGACCTAATTTCTTTTTTAGTCAGTTTCAAAAAGAATGACCTCTTTCCTTTTTGGTAACATTTTACTTTTGTTTTCCACGTGGCATGTTTAAGACCACAAGATTAAGGACAATTTTGTACATTTGACATAACTTTAATTTAGGACCACAAGATTCAAAAGTCTTCTTTATTTACTTAAACTCTGTGCCAAGTCAAACCAGGTCATTCTTTATGAAACGGAGGGAGTATATATTAATGTATTCCATAGAGCTAGAATATATAATTAATAAATAAAGCTTGATTTTACTCTTGTATTTTTTAATTTGTTTGATTGTTTCAGAATCATTGTTTTCTTGATCATACTTTGCCAAAGATCAACAATCTCAAAGTGCTTGTGTTGAAAGTCGTAGGCGTGACGGATGAATCCCTACTTGGTATTACTCCACTAATAGAAGCATCTCCATATTTGCAAAAACTGCATATTGAGGTACGTATGAGTTTATTCTTTAACCCTATTCTTAGGTTATTTTTCATAAATACTTTTTCATTTTTAATATACATGACATAATTTGAGTAGGTATAGTTTTAAAATAACAACTTTTCAAGTTTAATTATACATAGGCCGGATGGCTGGCTTAAACATATCATTACAGTTGTTTAACTATAAGAATTTGTCATTAAAGATATAATTGAAAATAAAAATTAATTGTTGAGGACTAAATTTTTTATCCTATTATTTTATTGTAGAAAAGAATGATTCTCTATTTATAGAAGTACAAAACATTTTCCTCCAAAAAAGAGTTATCTGAATATGGAAGATATTTTCTTCCATAAATTATTTATTATATTAAAATAACATGGGTTTGAATAAACTAAATCCAAACTAACAATTACTAAATATTAAGAATTTAGTACTAATAAGTTTCCTACTTATTCTCACGTTAAATCTGTTTTTCCTTGTTACTTTAACCAATGCCAATTTTGTATGCCGATTGTATTGACTGTTAACCTTCAACCAAAAAAAAAAATTGTTCATTCCTCTGTTTTTTTTAATCATAGTCACATGTATATCTATGGAATAATAATTTCTTTTCATTATTGGTATATGTAAATTAAACTCAATTGCAATTATGTTAGAAAAAATGTTTTCCTTGGCTTCATACGAGTTATATTTTACTGACCTTTTTTTTTTTTCCATTTCAGCTTGCATGGCATGAAACGACAATCTCCAAAAATAGAATTATACGAAAAAAGTGTCCCATCAACATCTCAA